CGTGTTTTGCGCAGCATATACGCAGTGTTTAAGCGGTTGATGGAAAATAAGCTAATGCGCGTTCTAAAAGTCTAAATTCGATTTATCGCATTACCGAATACCGGCATATGTCTAGTGACTGTCATAAGCTGTGGTTGCAAACTAGCATGATGATGAAGACGAAGGGAAAATTCCAGAAACTATATAGTCTTTATTTACAAAATTAAAACACGAAATCACAGGAGAAAAGCTAACCACACATAAACGTGAACGAGAACATGACCATGAGAAACTGAAGCACAGTATATATACAGTAGCCTGGGTGATAGATATCGATATCGTATGAAATGGAAAAAAAAGTATTGTGATTAATATTTTGGCCATATCGCCCAGCCCTGTGTTGTGCTCCATTAGCCTGGGAAAACCCAGACAACTTCCGGCAAATTTAGATTTGCTCTGAAAGTTAGTCTGGCAAAGAGCTCATTCAAGCCCATTTCCAATCCGTCGAAATCGAGGCACCAATCAGAAACGTTGGGGCGGGCTTTACACGATGACGACAGCGCTGGGATTTTGAAGCAGATTTTGTAGCCTACATTACAAAGATGGATGCCGCCGTCGAACATCACTCGTTCCAATCAGCTATCGCGTCTGTTTTAAGCGATTTGAACGTTTCCTTTTTGTTAAAAACCGAGCAAAGAACAACACTCGGAGATGTTTCTCCGCCGCTCTGCGTACGTCATCTCCTTCATCGCTCTGATTGGGTTTAGGTCTATCCGCGACGTCCGTTGGTTACGCCCCTCTGGAAATGATTTGTCTATGACGCTTTGCCAGACCATAAGTCAGTTACAACTGAGAATGGTCTGGTTTTAACCAGGCTATAAATACAGGCTACAAGCAAAGGAAACTAGATGAGAAACAGGTGAACCAAATCAATCAGTAACCATAGCAACTAACAGTCAACGTGAACAAAGGGAACAGGAATTAAACAGAAGGAAACGCAGGAAATTAAGCACAACGCAAACATAAACATTTGTGACAGTGACCTTTTATTTAACACTATAAGCGTACATTAAAATGCCATTAAGCACACTTCTTTTTCACAAGGGTTAATGTGCAGTTTGCACACTCGTCTTTAGAAGTACCCTAATATACAAAGGATGTTTATGTGTATTGGATTGGACAGCCATAAAAACGTTTGCGTCGTTTCCATGTTATTTGTTCAGGGTCAGAACAGTCTCGCCCGCAGCACACAGACACACACTCACACACTCACACACTCCTCCCTGTGGCTGCATGGAAACGTTCATCTCTCTGAGATCCACTGGCAATCTGACCCGTGGGGCACTGAACACTTGAATGAGTTTCTGTCAGCGTGTGTAGTTGAGTGTGTGTTAATGTGATCATGTGGGCGGCTGCTGCGCTCTGTAATAAAAGCCAGTAGTTTGGAACAGAGCTGGAAGGCATAACTGCTTGTGTGTGTGTGTGTGTGTGTGTGTGTGTGTGTGTGTGTGTGTGTGTGTGTGTGTGTGTGTGTGTGTGTGTGTGTGTGTGTGTGTGTGTGTGTGTGTGTGTAATCACATTTATTGGAAAGCAATAGAGGTGCTAGCAGATGTTACAGTTGTAAATTGCTTGTAGTGTGTGAGAGTTGTAAGAGAGGTTAGAGCATATCAGGAGATGTATGTGCTGTTTGCTGTTACATTGTTTCAGTGAAAAAACCCGTAAAACTGTGTTCAGAATCGGACAAATCATGGTTGTTTGGAGTGGAATACTGGTGTGTGTGTGTGTGTGTGTGTACATTTCAAACTGTATGTTACACTGTTGTCAAAGTATCTTGTGTGTCTACTTTATCATCTAGGAGATAAAAATGTGTAAGTTTTGGGTCAGTAAGATTTTTTTTCTTTTATTTGAAAGAAATTAATAGTTTTATTCGGGATGGATTACATTGATGAAAAGTGACAGTAAAGACAATAATGTCATAAAAGATTTCTACTTCAAATATTTCAAAGAATCCTGAAAAAAGATGCATCCAAGTTTCCTCAATGTTTTTAACATTGATAATAATTAGAAATGTTTCTTGAGCAGCAAATCAGCATATTAGACAGTCCCTCCAGAAAAACGCGATTATGCGATCGCTGAATTCAATGCATAATCAGGCAAAGTCCGCATATTTATGCGGGGGTCGCATTTTTTCAAATACTCCGCAATTTCGCCGCATAAATTGCTGATTTCCTCGCAAAATATGCGGGGCTTGCATGATTTCATAATCCCTGCATTTTCGTCGCAAAAAAGTCACATATATCTTAGCAGAAAGTTGGAAAATGTTGCGTTTGCTTCACACAAGAGCAGCCGTTTCCCCCTGTTGCCATGGGAACGTTATGAAGTGACGTAATTACGCGACGTGAGCATCATCGAAAAGCTGGGGGAAAAAAAGCTGTAATACAGGAGCACACTTTTTTTTTTTAATATTTAATTTATTCATTTTTACTGAAGTTGTAGCATATTCCTCTAGTTAAAGGAGAACTCCGGCGCAAAATGAACCTTTGGTCTAATTACACATTGTTACCTAGTCAACCGTTATCTGAGATTTGTTTTCATGATTATCGAATGTAAATAGTTTTATCTCTAAAAACAGTTTAGCCTATAACGCTAGTATATTGGGCATAGTGTAATGACAAATAAAAATCGCTTGTTAATACCACTAACAAGGCTCAAAATAGCCCCACACTAACACGGTAGCATAATGAGGGTCCCTACCTTCAAACCGAAGCATTGAGAACTTTGTCAGTGTCCAGACAGTTTAATAAGAAGATATTTTAAACATACAGTCAACTTCGCGTATACAGGCAGAAGCCATCTTTGAAATACAGTCTCTACCAGTCGATCTACGAACGCCGATCCAAGCCTGCTGTTCGCGCTCACCTTATCACAACTTATAGCTCATTCACATTCTCACCAGCGCACTTGGATCGGCGTTCGTAGATCGACTGGTAGAGACTCTTTTTCAAAGGTTTAGAATCCAGTATTCCTGTAATTATTGTTTCTTTTATGAATTTGATAAAGAACTCTGTCTCGTATTATGTCCAAACGGTCAGTGTACTTTTGTGTCAATTCGTTTTTCCTTATTTAGCCTAACCCGTAATTGCAAAACGAAAAATAAACTGTTGTATTTTTAAAACGCAAAGTCGAACACCAAAATTTTAATTTGAACTGCTACACACCAAATGCTGCGCAAAATAAATAATATGGACGAATTTTCAGATTTTTGTTTATGACTTTTTGCCCCTTTATTAAACATTTAAAATATTGACAAATTAATATGAAAAAAATGTAGATTTAACTGGTTTTCTAAGGCCAAATTAGAACCTGGAAATTATATTTTTCCAGTAGTGCTGAATGAGAAGATAACCACAGGCTACAGAAAGGTGATTTATAGGTGAGTTATAGGCTATAATAATTAATAAATGTGTCTGAAAAAATAACAAGGCATTTTAATTGTTTATTAATAAAAAATCAGTGTCGGCTAAAACATATCTCCATCTCCGCTGTAAGGCGGATGCGCCTTTAGAGAGAAATGCACCTCTCATACGGATTACATAATCAGAAGGTATTAGCTTTCGATTCGAATTTGTTCGTTTTAAAGTGGACATTTCAAGCTTTAGCTTAGGCTATTTTGTTTCAGTTATAGCGCTTCAGTTCACGGAGACCATGAAGCGGGCCTGATTGTTTTATTTTATTTTACAAAAGCACAACGTTTTCTTGTTATTGTGAGTGTACACAAATAAAAGTAGTTGCGAATAATGTATTATTATTTTCTGTATGACCAGAAATGATAGAGTAGGCTAGCCTATTTTAAGTTGTTTCCACTGTTGATAGGAAAATGCAAGTGTTCGCGCCCGCGCCCCGCGCCTCCGTGCCATCCAGTGCGCGCTCCACATTCCGCACACACACTTGGATATGCGTCAAAATCTTGTTTAGCCATTTGTGATCATCTTAGCCCTGTATTATGAATGATATGTGACGAATCGCTTTGTTCCTTTTTTTGATAAGCGTCTTCTACATATGTAGCCTAATAAATGCTATAATAATGATGATAATTATTATTATTATCCCCGCGTCTTCTCTAAGTCAGCTGACTGTAAATGCGCAAAACCTGTTTCCATTGCAGTTTTTTTTTTACTAAAGCAGTATATAAAATCAGATGTGTATTACCTACCACCATTTAGTTGTTTTGTGTTATTTAAAATATTTATAATATATATTTTTTTTAACAATGCAAAAAAAAATTTTAACGGGTTTCAGCCACCAGGGGGGGCAATGCTCCCCCTGCCCCCCCCCGCAAACTCCGCGCCTGGATGTAGTATGCTTGCTTATCATAGGAAGTAATAAGAAAGGACTATTTACATTAAGGTAGTAGCCTAGTGAGAACAGGGTGTTGGGGGAATCACTTTTTTTTTCTCTTTTTCATCAAACCGCAGTTTTTGCAAGTTCCCACAAAAAAATTGCATAAATATCCCGCATATTCCATCGCATTTTTAAAGAAAACGGGCCGCGTAATCAAGGTTTTTTGCCCGCAACAATCACAAAAAAAACTCCGCGTTTTTCTGGAAGGACTGATTATAATGATTTCTGAAGGATCATGTGACACTGAAGACTGGAGTAATGATGCTGAATATTCAGCTTTGATCACAGGAATAAATGACACTTTAAAATATATTCACATAGAAAACAGTCATTTTTATTGTAATAATATTTCAGAGTAGTACAGTTTTTGCTGTATTTTTGATCAGATAAATGCAGCCTTGGTGAGCAGCAGAGACTTCTTTAAAAAAAAATTACAGATCTTACCGACCCCCAACGTTTGAACTGTAGTATCAAGGTATCTCTTGCATACAGATAACGTGACTGTGCACCGTATTTACTACATCCTGCAAAAGTAGTTCAAGTAGTACCGTAGTATATTCCCAAACATAGCCATGAGCTCTGTGCTAAACTCTCTCTCCCTCTCTCTCTCTCTCCTTCAGGCAAACTCTCCACCAGTAGTGGTGAATACAGACACACTGGACGGCTCACCTTATGTAAGTATTATGCAGAGAATGCATATTTTAGTCTTTATCTCTAGAAATAATTTGCTGTGCAGATATATAAAGATGCCTGAAACCTGTAACACCCAAAAACCACCCACAACACCTGAGCAATACTCAATAATAACCAAAATACTCAATATAGAAACTAGAAATAGAACAGAAGGTAACTCTATGATGCACATTAGCTGATCCAGCCTGAGAAATACAGTGTGATTTGAGCTAAAGAAGAAAACATTTATGATACAATGGCTGTTTTATTGCTGATTGGAAATGTATTTGAGTTTTTGAGAATGTTTCCCATTCAAGTAGACTGGTGCCATATTACATATATTTGCATTCCTGTTACTGTATACGTGTCTTAATCTTGTCTTAAAGGACTGTGTGCTTTTTTGTAGGTAAACGGAGCAGAAGGAGAGATTGAATATGAGGAGATTACGCTGGAAAGGGTAATCTTACAATCATGTACAGTCCTGTATTACAGTTTGATTATTTAACATAGGTCACACTTACTTTTCCATTTTGCCATGGTATTTTTTATATTTTTATTATGAAGTATTTATTTTGTAAGGTTTGTAAGTAAGATTTTAAATATTCCTTGTGAAAAAGAATTTTGAATTTTGAATATTGAATTAGTCCAGTCATTTTAAGCCAAAATGGGGGTAAATTGCAACAGAAGCAAACTCAACTGATTTTGTATCCTCAATATGTCCTGAGTAAGAAAAAAAAAAAGCCCCGAAGTATTCCATTAGGGGAAAGTTTAGAAAAAGACCCAAATATATCCCATTCATACGCCTATTCATTCTTTTTTTCACGTGAAAAGGGTAAAACTTTTAACCTTTAGATATCATCATGAAAATCATGAGTTGATTACTTGCATCAAGACAAACAAAAAATGTATTACAAGTTTTTTGCAATTGTTTGTTAACATGGACAAATGGTGCATAAACTAAGTACATATGTGCTAATTTGCATAAATACCCCAACAGATCTAAACATTGGGTATAGCAGGTGAAAATGTCTTGTAGAATTTTGTTGACATATAACAGTAAACTATTTAATATTAAGGTCTGAATGGAACCCATTTAGGCTACCCATGAACATTAAAGCAGGAAGAAGTACTTTAGAAACCAGCCTTTATTAATTATTATGGCCGAGATGGGGTTTGGGGCTGGGTCAGTGGGGCTGTTTCTGGGGGATGAGTCTGAGGGAGGAACAGGAGACATGGGTAAGGAGAATGCAGAAGACAAAAGGTAGCTGAAATAAAAAGTCTGGATCAAAAAATCTAATTACGTACACAATGCACTCAATGCCCATCCCATCTCTGCCATAATAATTAATAAAGGCTGGTTTCTAAAGTACTTCTTCCTGTATTAATGTTCATGGGTAGCCTAAATGGGTTCCATTCAGACCTTAATATTAAGTCTTTTACTGTTATGTCAACAAGATTCAAAAAAACATTTTCACCTGCTATATACCCAATGTTTAGATCCGTTCGGGTAATTATGCAAATGAGCTAATACGTAATTATATTATGCACCGTTTGTCCATGTTAACAAACAATTAAAAAAAACTTGCAATACATTTATTGTTTGTCTTGATGTAAGTAATCAACTCAGTGATTTTCATGATGATATCTAAAGGTTAAAATGTTTTCCCTTTTCACGTGAGAAAAAGAATGAATAGGCGTATGAATGGGATATATTTGGGTCTTTTTCGAAACTTTCCCCTAATGGGATTCTTCGGGGCTTTTTTTTTCCTTACTCGGGACATATTGAGGATACAACATCAGTTGAGTTTGCTTCTGTTGCAATTTGTTCAACCTTTTTTCATAAAATGACTGGACTAAATGTGCACTTCAAACTTTAAAAGAATATTAAAAAAGAACTGCACTTGCAGATAATATAATATTAATGAAATAAAAGGCTACTTTAAGAGAGTACACTTTCTTAACACACTTAAGTACACTTTTAAAAAGTACAATTTGCAATGATTTCAAATGAAATGTTTTACTCATTATGTTTTAATAATCTGTTGCCTTGCTTTATAGAAGTACACTTATTTTGATGTGTTGACTAACACATGTAAAGAACTTGATTATAATTCTAACTGTAGTGTTATTTGATATTACATTTAAAGTTCATATATTTGAAATGTTCTAAACTGTAACTTCACCATTACAAATGTGAAGAATTACAAATATATTTAAATGCATGACATACAGTAGAGTTTCACTAGAAATGACATTAGTTTACCGTAAATGATTGTCGGTACACTTTAACCATAGTTCAAAGTCAATAGAAGAAATGATGAAATTAAACATATAGATGTTCTTTAAAGATGCACTCTAAAGTTCGCTAAATGCATTTAATATGCATAATACATTTTCATTTAATTGCAATTAACATGCAATTAAGTGTCTGAAAACGTGTTCTAAAGTGTACTTCTTTTTCACAAGAGATTCTATCAAGTAAATAACATGTTTCAGTGTTAATAAATTGCCTTTGACATCTAAAGCTAAATAAATTAATGTAAATATATGTTGTCAGAGCTTCGGTGTATACATAAATGAGCGACACAAATGTCTCTCAGTTTGTATAATGACCCAGTCGTCTGTGTGTGTGTGTGTGTGCTTGCGTGGTGTGTGTGTGTGTGTGTGTGTGTGTGCGTGTTTCTGTGTGTGCCTGTATGGTGTGTGTGTGTGTGTCTATGTGCGTGTGTTTTTGCGTGCGTGTCTGTGTGTGTGTGTGTCTGTGTGTGCGTGTCTGTGTGTGTGTGTGTGTGCGCGTGTGTGTGCAGGGGAACTCTGGGCTAGGCTTTAGTATCGCGGGAGGGACTGATAATCCTCATGTAGGAGACGATCCCAGCATCTTCATCACCAAGATCATTCCTGGAGGAGCCGCCGCACAAGACGGGAGACTCAGGTAACACACATATACTGGACGTAGTTTACATACACAGTGGCCCCGAAAAGGTTTTATATGCTTAAATCACATTTACACATGAATGTGAATGACATTGCAATAGGTAACATTGAGTGATTAATCAATTTCTTTTTATAGCTGATTTACAGCAGAATTTGAATTTGTCTCGTTTATACAGTATCTCACGAAAGTGAGTACACCCCTCATATTTCAGCAAACATTTTAGTATATCTTCTCAAGGGACAATACTGTAGAAATGAAACTTGGATATATTTTAGAGTAGTCAATGTGCGGCTTGTATAGCAGTATATATTTACTGTCCTCTGAGAATAACTCAACATGCAGCCATTATTGTCAAAGTAGCTGGCAACAACAGTGAGTACACCCTAAGTGAAAACAGCTGTACACTGTTTAACCATGCAAAGCCACATGTCCTATTCATCATGTTCATGTTTTTGTCTGCTTGACAGGACCATACAAATGAGTGTATCTTGTATTAGAGCAGTTAAAATTTGTGCTTTGAGTACAGTTCTCTCAGACTGACCACTGGATGTTCAACATGGCACCTCATGGCAAAGAACTCTCTAAGGATTTGATCATTAGAATTGTTGCTCTCCACAAAGTTGACCTAGGCTCTGAAACAAAGTTAAAGTACAATGGCCTGGGTCATACAGAGGTTTTCCAAGACGGGTTCCACTCGTAAGGCCTCGCAAGGATCAATCTAAGAAGTCGAGTCTTCATGCTGTGCGTCAGGTGCAGAAGCTGGCTTGAAAAAACAGCATGATCGTACCAGCATTGCTTTAGAGGTCGCGGAAGGTCAGCTTGTCAGTGCTCAGACCATACGCCACACACTGCAACAAGTCGGTTTGCATGGCCGTCGTCCCAAAAGGAAGCCTCTTCTGAAGCTGGCTCACAAGAAAGCCTGCAAACAGTTTGCTGAAAGCAACCTGTCCAAGAGCATGAATTACTGGAGCCTTGTCCTGTGGCCTGATGAGACTAAGATAGGGCTGCAACAACTAATCGATAATAATCGATTATGAAAATCGTTGTCAACGAATGTCATTATCGATTAGTTGGTCTGCTTACGTCACGGGGAGTGTTTACTGGTGATTGGTTGAAACAGGCCAATCAGGATGCTCTCTGTCTTACACGCGCTTCATGAGGCACACACGCACACACACGCAAGGTCTCTCTCCCTCCGTTGCTTTGCCGCGCGCTCGCGCTACACGTTTTGGAGCACAGTCTCTTCTGTCTCGCATGCGCGCTCTTGCTTGCGCGCTCAAATCCCGGGAGTTTGAACTAATTTGCGAGCATCAGGGAGCCGCTATCAATATGCGGGTGACTCCCAGAACTTCCGGGAGACTTGGGATGTCTGCATTTTGCGTCTCGAGCATCAGGTTGCGCAATCAGTTCGCTCGCAACATAAGTGATGGATTAAAATAGCGCTACCGCAGAAATATTAAATTAAAACGGTCTTTACAAAGCGAAGCACTAAATATAAAGGCAGTTAATAACACCAGCAGTAAATTATTGTTTTTTAGTCACTGCACTCAGTGGTTTTCAGCGAATGTTTGTGCACTAATGCATAATTTTTCCTGTCTTTTTAATCAAGCCTGTTAGCTTGTGGCGTACCTCCATTCCGCTCTCTTTTTATAGCATTTGTCTACTATTAAGTTTTAATTGTTTTTCAAACGCGATCTACTGCGGCTCTATGTTCACACGCTTGTTTTCAGTCTTTCTATATTTATTTTTTACAAATTATCCTTATAATTCAATTAATTTAAAATAAAAATTAAATGAATTATATATTTTAGATGTTTTTAGTATATATCTTTACATCTGAACAACATGTCTGTAAATTTGTTTTGACAAAAATTGTGTTAAAACAATATGTTGGATATAAATGTTTTTTTTTTTTTTTTACATGAATCATGGTTGTCAACTTGCCATCAGCAATTATCATTAAAAACAATGCAAATATTGATATTTGTAGAACTCAATGTGTGGCTTTTGCACTTTTTAAAGTACACTTTTACACATAAATATCCTAATTTAGGGTTTTAGGTAACACTTTATTTTACGGTGTCCTTGTTACATATGTTACATGTACTTACTGTAGTAATAACAGTAAATTATGCATAATTACATGCAACTAACCCTCAACCTAATCCCTCCCTATTCCTATAGTAAGTACATGTAGTTACTTAATATTACTCTGTACTTAAATATATAATTACACTGTAACAAGGACATCTTAAAATAAAGTGTAACCGGGTTTTATTTAGTCATAATAAACAAAACATCTAATTTAATTTTTTATCCGATTAATCGATTAATCGAAAAAATAATCGTCCGATTAATCGATTATCAAAATAATCGTTAGTTGCAGCCCTAGACTAAGATGAACTTGTTTGGCTCAGATGGTGTCCAGCTTGTGTGGCGATGACCTGGTGAGGAGTACCAAGAGCATTGTGTCTTGCCTACAGTCGAGCATGGTGGTGGTGGCATGAGTGCTGCACGAGTGCACTGGTACTGGGGAGCTGCGCTTCTTTGAGGGAAACATGGATTCTGAAGCAGAACATGATGCCCTCCCTTCAGAAACTGGGCTGAACGGCATGATGACGGCCCCAAACACACCGCCAAGATGACGACTGCCTTGCTGAGGAAGCTGAAGGTGATGGCCAAGTATGTCTCCAGACCTGAACCCTATTAAGCAGCTGTGGGGCGTCCTCGAGCGGAAGGTGGAGAAGCGCCATGTGTCTAACATCCATCAGCTCCATGATGTCAGTATGGAGGAGTGGAAGAGGATCCCAGCAACAACCTGTGCATCTCTGGTGAACTCCATGCCCAGGAGGATTAAAGCAGTGCTAGATGACAATGGTGCTCACACAAAATATGGACTCTTTGGACACTGTTTTGACATGTTCACTTAGGGTGTACTCCCTTTCGTTGCCAGCTACTTTGACAATAATGGCTGCATGTTGAGTTATTTTCAGAGGACAGTAAATATACACTGCTATACAAGCCGCACATTGACTACTCTAAAATATATCCAAGTTTCATTTCTATAGTATTGTCCCTTGAGAAGATATACTAAAATGTTTGCTGAAATGTGAGTGATGTACTCACTTGTGAGATACTGTATCTATATATGAAGAGTTTGGTTCCAAAACGCGATAAACGCCATTTTAAAAAAAAATTAGTTACTGCAAAAATCAGTATTGTATCTGGTTGGTATTGAAAAGTCAATGTTTAATTTTAAGTAAAATGCGATATCCGCCGTGTTATTCTGTCATGTTTTCTCCCTTTCTTTCCAAACCGCGACAAACGCCAGTCTCCCTTCTCTGCAGAATGCGATATGTCCGCTCTCAACCAATCACAACGCACCATTCCACTCTCAACCAATCACAACGCACCATTCCACGCAATGTAAACAGTAACGGCAGCGTCTTAAATACACCCGGCTTTAGTTTTTCTTATCTATTTTGTACTTTTCGATCAACAAACAAACAAAAAATGAATAATTTTGACGGCATTGATGAACCTGTGGTTGTTTCTGCGGCGGGTGAGAAACCTAAGGCATCGAAATCGAATCATTTACGTGAGGAGATTAAGAAGATGAGGCACTCGGGAGGAGGAAAAATGTTTTCAATCTTCTTTACAGTTCTTAATAAAAATATTATACTATTAAACTTACGTTGTTGTCTATTTTCAACAGTTTCAATATGAAAAAAAAAAACTTTTATATTGATTCAATGGATTAATTGCATTTTGATTTTTTTAAAAAAACATGGATTTATTGCATTTTGGGGAAAAAAATAATCCGTTTTTATAATAAATCTTTGAAAATCAAAACCTGGATTTAATTTTTTTTTTTTATTATGACCTACAAATGCAATGTGAAAGTTTGAAACAGAAAATAGTGGTTTTCATCTTTTTACTTTCTTGGTAAAGAAAACACATTTTTACTCAAATTAATCTAAATGGATTTATTGCGTTTTGGAACCAAACTCTTCATATATATATATATAAAATAGCATTTAGTTTAATATTTTCTTATCTAACACAATGACATCCATATTTTACATGTGACTTAGTAGTTTTATGGTCACTATATGTGTATATGGACATGCTCACATTCATATTAATATACTCGCAGTTAAATATCTCTGTGGATGTACTTGTGATGCATTGTTAATGGGACCAGCTGGGGTTCCTGCTAACAAATGCAGTTTTACCCCAGAGCATGGCAGCACATCCACACACACACACACACACACATACACACATGCATTTGCACACAAATTCACTCACACACTGCAGGAGAAATTAAGCAGACTGAAAAAGCACAGAAGAGAGAAAGAGAAGAGATAGACAGAAATAGCAGTTTGAGAGTAGTAACTCTATAGATGTAGCACTTTCTTAAAGTTCACCCTAAAAATGAAAATCCGGTCATTATTTCCTCACCCTCAGTCGGATGATTTCAGCGATGCGATTAGCAGAGCAGTGTGAATGATGGGTTAACAGCTCAGTGGAGGTGAAGACTCCCAAGGTTTTGGTCTGTTCATTACAGTCATACGGGTTTGTAGCTGGTTGGTTAGTTCATGATGAGAGAACTATGAACCACACAGCTTGAGGCAAACACACACTGTCAAACCTGATGGACTGTCAGCTGTTTAATGCTGTTCTCGGCGGACCGGCGGGTTCATTGCTGATGTGCTGGGAGCAAACGGACTGTAGTTTGGAAAGACAGGAACATTTTTTTTCCCCACTGTGTAATTTTACAGTTGAATGAGAACACTCTCTATTTTTCAGTTAAAGGTTTGTAAAGATACTTTGCGTATCTTCATTCTCATGAAGCATTCAAGTATTTGCATAGTACAGGCAAATTAATTATTTAAACGTTATTTAAATTATAATCGAATAATTACATGAATGATATATTGACTAACAGGGTTTGAGTAACAGTACACGTAACGCAAGTAATCAGATTATTTTTT